TATGTTGTCACGTGACACATTATTATGTTTGGATGTGTCATTTACTAATGTCGTTCGTTCGCATCGCGCAATACCGAGTTTGGTACTTGTAAACCTAGTGAAAAGGCCACGAGTGCATCATGAGCGTAGCATGTAGTCGTGTTACATGACACGAATCTCATGTTTATCATGTTTGCACCAGTATTATACCTTCGTCATCCATTTACGTCCCGTTGTACCAAATTATGGTGTAAGTTAAGCTAGCGAAACAGCCGTCAGCGCATCATTAGCGTAGGTTGTAGTCATGTTGTTACATGACACGCATCTCATGATTATCGTGTTTACACCAGACTTTCGTCATTCATTGATGTCCCGTAATACCAAATTTAATGTAAGTGAAGCTTGCGAACGCATCATGAACGTGGCATGCAGTGGTGTTACTTGACACACATGTCATGATTTTTATGTGAGGGTCTGTCGCTTCCGTTCGCTAGGCAATCATGTCATACCATACCAGTTTTTCAACATGCCATGTGAACGAAACCACCGCAAAAGCTGCAGAACCTTGAAATGTAAGTAATAATATTTATGACTTACATGTCACAATTTTCATGCTATGATTATTCAAATATGTTCTTTATACAGTCATGTTATGCCATACCAAGTTTGGTGTCGATACCATTATGAAAACGGCCAGGAAAACTATATGTCATGGGCGGCTAAATAGATAGAAAGGCGGAAAGACGGACAGACGGATAGATGGATAGATAGACTACGCTCAAAGTCGCAGACGTTCGCTAAATATGCTTAGCTTTAAAAACATTCAACTGATTAGCACTCATAGTTTTGCATGCACACGAAACTACAATAACTAGCGGTGTAGCTTAATATAAGTAAAATGATCGCGTATGTAATCTGGGGGAGGAGGAGGTAAAACTTTATTAGACTAAGGGATTTGGGCAATTACGTCCCAGGGTCCCCGCACGACCCCACTGCGCTATGCGTTCATGAGTTCATGCAGTTCCATGACGTGGGCGGCCCGGTCAGTGGCGATTTTCTGCTTGGCCGGGTCCGTCGAGCGCAGCAAGGTCTCCCATTCCTCCCATGTGGTCAGTGGCTCTGGGCCCCGCGGGGGAGGGTCCGCCGGGCATTCCATGAGAATGTGGGTAAGGGTAGCGTGGGGGTGAGTGCATTGAGCACAGGACGGGGTGTACGCTCCCGGGTAAATGCGGGAAAGAAAATAGGGGGAGGGAAGGGTGCGGGTCTGAAGGCGACGCCATAATATTTGGTGAAAATTTTTGAGGGATCGGTGGGGTGGTGGGTATAGCTGGCGTTCGGCGCGATATGACTGGGTCATCTCGTTGAACGAATGCATGCGCTCCCTGGAAGAGCCCGACTCCGATTGCGCCGCCGCCCGGTTGATGAGACCTCGGGCGTGGTCATTGGCGGCTTCGTTGCCATGATTTCCAGAGTGCGCAGGCACCCAGATCAGCTCCACATGGCGGGCCGGGTTTTCGGTGGGCGAGCTGAGAATTCTGAAAGCGCTCTCGTGGACTCGTCCTCGCGCGAAATTTAGGATCGCGGTTTTCGAGTCGGAAAGAACGTACCGGGCATCAGTGTGTTCGAGGGCAAGCGCGATCGCCGCTTCTTCCGAGGATTCCGGGGTGGATGCAGGAGGAAGGTGGAGAGTTGCAATGAGTTGTAGTGTGCGATCAACGACTGCAACTGCCGCGTCGTCGCCCGTGCAAGCTGCATCCACCCATACGGCGTCCTCTTCAGAGCCGTAGTATTTGTGGAGAGCTTTTGCACGGGCCTTGCGGCGGGCCGAATGGTAGGTAACGTTGGTGTTTCTTGGGAGAGGTTTAACTATTATCTGTGTCTGTATGGGTCGGGGGATTGGTAGAAGTGTGGGGTCGGCTGCTGGTATGTGAATATTGAGGGTGCTAAGTATGTAGCGTCCGGTGAAAGTCTGAGCTAAACGAGTGTATTGCGCTCGTCTGTGGGCCTCAGTGAGTTCGTGTGTGGTGTTATGGAGCCCAAGCTGAAGAAGTTTAGTGGTCTGTGTGTTAGGGGGGAGGTGTAAGGCCACCTTGTAGGCTTTACGAAGCATGGCATCCAGGGCGGCTATTTCTTCTTGTCGAAGTCGGAGATACGGGATTGTATAAAGGAAACGGCTAAGTATGAAGGCATAAATGAGACGACACAAATCGTGTTATTTATGCCATAGTGTTTTCCAGAAACTCTGCGGACGAGGTGCGAGAGCGCATCCATCACCCGCTTGAGTTTCCGGATAGTGAAAGTGTTACGGCCGTTATTTTGGATGTGAAGGCCCAAGATTCGGATTGTGTGGACCTCTGGGATAGGGCGCCCGTCCAGAGTAACGGTGATGAGGGCAGTGGGAAGAGTACGTGGTGAAGGGCGTATAAGAAGCAGCTCAGATTTTTCCGGGGAACAGGAGAGACCAATGCTTTGTGCGTGTTGTTGTGTAATGTTTGCGGCGGTTTGTAAGGTTTCCTCTCTGTCGCCATAACTACCGTGGGTGGTCCCCAGTGTGATGTCGTCTGCATAGAGGGTGTGGTGAAGGTGAGGCATATTGTGAAGAGCGCGGGCTAAGGGAATGAGTGTGGCATTGAAGAGAAAAGGGGAAAGGACCGAACCTTGCGGAGTGCCTACACCACTGAGGGTATATGGAGGGGACGCATGGGGGCCCAAATGAACCTCGGCGGTGCGTCCTGATAGGAAGGCTTGCATGTAGGCGTACATACGAACGCCCACATGGAGGGGGGAGAGAGCCGCCATGATCGCTTGGTGTTCTACTCGATCAAAGGCTTCGGTTAATGTCCAGGGCCAAGACGGCTTTAGTATGAGCGGGGATGAGAGGATCAAGAATACCGTGCGTCAGTTGAAGCATGGCATCTTGGGCGGAGAGACACGGGCGGAAGCCCACCATGCTGTGCGGGTATAGGTTGTGGGCGTGCATGTGTTGAGTCAGTCTGTTTAAAGCAACGTCCTCGAGAAGCTTCCCGAGACACGATGTGAGTGAAATGGGGCGGAGGTTTGATATGGTAAGGGGTTTCTTAGGTTTAGGGATGAATACAATCTTAGCATGGCGCCAGGATTGCGGCAAGGTGCCTTCCTGCCAGCATTTATTAAAGTAATCTGTAATCTCTGCAATCGATTGATCATCCAGATTGCGGAGCATGAAGTTAGTTATCCCATCTTTCCCCGGTGCAGAGCTTGTTCGGATGTTCTGGAGGGCCATACGGACCTCTTGCTCCAATATGTCCTTGCCAGGGCTTCATTCGGGGCTGCCGTGTAGGGCGGGAGAGGGGAGGAGGTGCCGGGTACCGTGTGTGTTGTGCGTAGTTGGTCCAGAAGGGTGTCAGGGGAAAGCGTGGAGTTGTGAAGTAGGCGTGTAATATGATGTTGTGACGTTGTGCGTGAGTGTGTAGGGTCGATAAGGTGCCGTAGAAGGTGCCATGCGTACTTGGTAGAGAGGTTGCCAGCTATGCTGTTGCACACCTGACCCCAGTTGGAACGACACAACTCCTCGGCGTGCGTAGTTATTTGTGTCCGTAGCGTAGCCAGTCCGTGTTTTAACGTTCTGTTATATTTCTGTCGTTTCCATCTCTCCAGTATGCTGTGGTGCGCCTCCCAGAGGTGGGCTAAGCGAGTGTCCAATGTAGGGGTGTTGGGTGGTGTGGTAATCTCTTGTGTGTGTGCGGTTATATCATCTCGGAGAGATGAGACCCAATGATCAATGTCTTGTATCGGGGTATTGGGGAGTTCCCGACGAGCGGATCGGATAGCGTCCCAGTGAATCAGATTGTGGGTGAGGAGTCGAGGTCTGTGTGGTGTGTGAGGTATTTGTATGGCGATAATATAATGGTCGCTTTCAAGTGTGTATTGTGTACGAGACCATGAGATATCTTTAAGAGAACAACTGAGTGTGAAGGTCTGGACTAGTGTCCATTGTTACGCTATTGCAGATTCGGGTTGGTGTGAGAAATTTGTTTTGTGTAGTGAGGCGCAAGTCTTGAATGGTAGTCCAAAGCCTGCGACCCCGTGCTGTGGTGTACCAGATAACCCCAGTCTGTATGCTGAAAGTTAAAATCGCCGCCTATGAGTAGGGGGTTTCGGCCCGCGATGCGGTGAATTCTCTGCAATAGCGCATCTAGAGTGGCCATGGCCTGGCGTGGGGTGTGGTAGATATTGGCTATAAGAATCGGAGGTGTGTTAAGTTTCGTGGGGATGAGTTCTATGAGGACGCACGGAGTGGAGGAGGTGATTGTGTGTTCTTGGTAGGTAACGGTGCGATGAATAAGTGTGGACACTCGGGGAATGTCAGTGGGGTCTGAGTGTACTGCATAATAACTTGAAAGTTTGGCTTGGTGTTGCGTGTCCTGTAACAAAATATGTTTGGGTATGGCAGGGAGGGCAGGTATTAAGAGCTGCAGCGGTGCGCGCTTGCCCCGAAAGCCGCGGCAGTTCCACTGGATTAGTGATAGGTGGGTAGAAGTATCATGACCCGCCATATTGGAGCGTGGGCAGAGCTAGGATTGGTTGTTGTTGCTGTAGTGGAAGTGAAATAGAAGGAGCAGGTGTGTGTGAGATGTAGGTAGAAGACCCCTCGTGTGATGATCTGGTAGTTTCGAGCCTCTGAAGGCGGGTCTCAGCGTAAACCTAGTTTCTAGAGTTTGGGTTAGGCGTGTGAATAGTGCATCCATCTGTTGCTCAAAACAAGTAGACAGCTGCTCGACTATCGTTGAAAAGTTAACTTCGATGCACGCCTCCAACGCTACCAGTTTGGCGTCAAATTTGGCTTCCAAGTTTCTTAGGTCAGCCTGATAATCGTCGACTGAGTCTGAACTGCGTTTCTTTTTAAGGGGGGGTGAGGAGTGTGTGACGGGGCTGTTGGGTGACTGCGCAGTGCGTGGGGTGACTTGTTCTGGAGACAGCTGTTGCGAAGGAGGTGAGGGGGGAGTAGGGCTTTGTGTTAGAAGGGTCGTGAGACGGCTTACCTCCACACGCAGGGCCCGGAGCTCCTGGTCACGGGGGTCCGGGGCAGGCCGAGTGTTGGTTGCCGGTGGTCTGGTCGGAACTCTTCGACTGCTCTTTTCGTTGGCTGGCATGTGGCTTAGAGCGTTTGGTGCTTGCACCGCGTAGTGAGTGGTCTTCTCCTTCCTGTGATCGTGGTTCACGTGGTGACTTGGGCCTGGTTACTTTAGGTAGGTGCCGGTGCTTACGCTCCCCGGTCCCCGACAGATGTGGGCCTTCGCAGATGATGCAGACTGGAGTACACGTTGGATTTGCCTCTTTCGGGTGTAATTGGCCACATCTGGGGCACCTGTGCGTCCTAGGTTGTATGCATACATCCGTTCGGTGGCCTATGGTCCGGCAGTTACTGCACGTCTCGACCCTTGGTGTTTAGGGCTTGCACAGATGCCGTCCTCCACCATAAACAATCTTTCGTGGGACGGTGGCTTGTCTAAAGGTAATGAGGATCGATCGCGTGAGTCCCATTTGTCGAGCGTCTAGTATAGTTTCGTGTGGGTTGCCGGAGATCAAGTCCACGAATAGTTCATGTGGTGATTCCTTCCAGTAGGCGTTTGTAAAAACACCCCTGACTGATGCCATCGGGGGGTGCGATGTATGCCGTCATGGCATACTCATGCTTGTCGTAGGTGATGTGCTGTAGCTGCACAAGCTTGAGCGCGTCCTTTTCATTCACCGCAGACACTGTGCAAGTGTTATTGACAGGGTGAATCCGGAGGGTCAGCGTAGATGGGTCGGTCAGCGCAGCGGCCTGCATGAGAGCGGTGAGGAGGTAGCGTGGCTGGAGCGTCGTAAGGTCAAGGCCTCCCTGGGAGCGGAACACCACTTCAAATCCGCCGAGTGGAAGGGGCGGTAGTTGTTGCTTGATCTTTTGGGCGGTTGTATGGAGAACGCGCAGCTGCGTCGAAGAGCTCTGTAGCCCGGGAGTTGTGGCGGTCTGCGGAGTCTTGCGCGACTGGCTCGGCGTCTCTCGCACAGAAGGATCGGCATTCGTACCGTGGGTCGCGTTTCGTGTTTTCCGGAGGTTTGCCTGGGCTCTGAGGACTTGGGTCAAATCCCGACGGTCATACTGGCTTGGGTCCAAGTCCGTGCCTTGTACTCGAACCTCCATGCTGGCCTAACGTGAGGAGGCTGCGGCCGCGAACGCGTCGCAAGGCCTAGCACGGCGGTGGCGACGACGGAGCCTGGTTTTTGGGCCTGGTGGCCCTCCTGGGGCTCGCCGAAACCTCAAGAGGGGTTAGTGGATAGCGCTCACCTGTATCTGGGGGATCTTGGTTTGGGTATTGCATGTACATAGATGTCTGTTTGTCTTAGCTTTCTTTTCACACTGATGTCGCAATCACGGATAAGGTGCCAAGTATAGAGTAGAATTAACATCATCTATACCTTCATTGGCTTCTGCATCAGCTAGTTTTGCATAATTTCAAATTAGGAGTCTTGAATATGATTTCTACTTTCTGTAACGTATCCACTGCAGAGAAGCATTCACCTAGTGCAGCTAGTAACGACAGTTAAAAAAGGTGCGCATCCGGTATGGAGTGTTGGCTGTTGATAAGAGAGACGCGCTTCTAATAAACTGTTGCATTCCAGATGGCAAGCAACGGCAAAACAGTAGTTAAGGAAAAAAATCATCCTACATAGGCGTGTGATATATGTATGCTTAAAGCAGTACCTGAAGGAAAATGCAATGTTGTAACCGTGCCACAGCATGCATGCTTGTAATGTTTGCGGCCGTCACCAGCTGCAAAAGAGTATTTTTTGTCACATGACACGCTGTTCGCCCCTCTGAGTTTGGACGTATGCTTTTCATAAGGAAGGTTGACCAATCATCAAGTAAATAGGGTAATTACTTTTATCTTGTAATGTGTCCTGGATCGTCATGACATTGTCTCTCTTCAACATGCAGGGTATGTCGAAGAATTGTCGCAACATTCCATGAACCTCTGAGAACTCTTATCATAAAAGGAGAGCTTTACAAGCAACGAGGCAGTAAAGCCATACCATACGTCACTCACCTATGACTGGTCATTCAAGGAGGAGCTCATTGCTCAGAGGAGCACACTCTTTCCAACACCATCGACCTCGAATCAGTGACATGCGTTTGTTCTAAGGATGTTGGTTTGGATTCAATATCGAAAAATCGTTATGCAATATAGATGGACGCTATAGTGGAGGGTTCCAAGAAATTCAGTGACATGATCTTCTTCAACATGCGACTTAATCTAAGTGCATGGCCTCAGACACTTATTGCTTCCACTGAAAAAGCAGCCACCATGGCTGGGATTCGAACCAGCGCCCTTCGGGGGATCTGTTAACTACCACGACAACTAGACCGCCATCGAGGGTAGTCACCTATTCTTACCACAGTGTCAAAAGGTCACCTTAAAAACGACATCAAATCTATCTTCACGTGTGTATGCTCTGGCTGGCAGGACACGGAGAGCCCCTGTGTAAATCGAGCGAGAGAGCTACACTGGATAGAAGCACCGTCAAAAGCTCTGTGAAACAGAGAGAATTCATGCGTACAGACGACGCTGCTGAAATTTTGTAACACTTGTGATTCGGGCAACGTCGAAGGCCTGGTCAAGCAGAGAGAATGCCAGCGCAGCAACGACGTAGCTGAAGTCTTCTGACACAAGTGCAAGCAACGAGCCTTCTTGGTAGTGGGGTAACCGTGCAACCATGACTGATTTGTGGAAAGTGCCATCAAATGTTATTTTGACGCGTGTGCTGTACGGCTGGCCAGCGCACAGAGAGCCATTGGTTGAATCAAGTGAAAGAGCCACATTTGACCTAAACAACTGCCTTCCTTGCAGTCGGGCAGTGATGCAGCCATGATTACTTTTTGTGAAGTGTGAAATCTTATTTTAACGTCTCTGTCTTACAGGAGACAGCCCAAGTGCAATCTGCTAATCACACTGCTCGCTCTCTTGAATGTTTCTGGAACAGACTCTCCCATGAGGAATTAGCATATTCCTGTGACTGACAGTCATCTTGTTGGGAGTCTCGTCCCGCCTAGCATTGACTACACTATGTATTACGGCTGTTTTGATGTAACCGTAAATACAGTGCTAAGTTCGAAAACAGTTTGATGTAAAGGAGAGTTGGCTTTACCTGTATTTTGTAGAGTCATGCTTGGACAGTATGCAATCTATGAAATTCCAACAGATCGTCTACAGCACAAAGGCAGTTCAAATAAATTTCGATGTACGTGTATGAAATCCAGCACAAGCACTATACGCTGCTCTTTACGACGCCGAAATCATCTCAAGACACTGAAACTAGCTTTTTAAAGGTTAGCCTGCTGCATGCCCCTACCTGGAATAAAAAGGGACATCCCACATGCAGTGGGAGTCGATGATATGCGAAACACGAATGATTATTGTTGATATGTCCCATTAAAATCAGCACAACGATACGAGGTGGGGGTAAATGATGTCATAAGTGACTTCCGTGTCATGACTATTATGTTTACATGTGTCGTTTACCTTTGTCATCTATTCACGTCACGTGATACCAAATTTAATATATCTGGAGCTAGCTAAACGGCCGCGAGCACGCTATGAGCGGTGTATGTTGTGATTTTCTTACATGGCACGCCTGTAAGGATTATCATACTTACTACAGTTATGCATTGCGTCTTTCATTGACGTCACTTAACGCCAAGTTTGTATATGTGAAGCTAGCGAAACGGCCGGGGGCACGTCATGAAGGCTCAATATACCCCAATGTAGCATTGACGCGCGCGCAAGCTGGACACAGCGACGCTACGTTAGCAAAACGTGAGCAGTCTATAGTCTGCCGCAAGGCGCGACCAGCATCCGTCGGCACGGCCCGACGGCAACCGGCGTGAAATGCAGCATGCTGAATTTCACGCTGATGCGTTACCGAGTCAAGAAGACGACGCTAGGGGGCCAGTCGAAGTAAACGTGCTTCGCATGAGCTCCCGCCTCGACACCTCATCTAACCCGGAAAACCTCATCGCCGCCACCTATGAAGTACTGGACCGTCTTCTACTAATCATGCGCAGTCGATGGATAAACTGTTTTTAACCGTAATCCGCATTTCCTGAAGTCTGCTTGTTTGAAGATTCAAGCCGAAGAACGCTGCTCTAAAGCCTAAGCGGCGTCGGGCTGTTTGCCCGACGAAACGCTACTCGCGCTTCGGCGCAACGCGTGAGAATGGCTGACGACGACATGGCTGCGTCAACCGTAGCCACAACATCGATCGAAGAAAAACTCAAGGCGGAGAAAATGCGACCAGCATCTCGCTAAAGAAGCCTTTTGATAACGGGGGATAGTTCACTGCAGCGTACCACAACTCAAGGCCAATCGCCGTTCCGGAGACCGGGGCCGAAGCGGTAGAACAATCAGCGTTCAGCCAACCTAAACAGAAAGGGAATTCTCTTCGAAAAGAAAAACTGCTGAAAACCGACTTCGAGGTCTTCATTAGACCGAGGGATGGGCTCAACATCAGTCAATTAGGCACGCATCAGATGGTGCCACTATAACTATGGCATGTGGTAACCCAGACATCTGCAACGGAGGCAACCTGCTTATACGGCTGCGCAATGGATCTAACGTCGCCATAATAAGCACGTCAAGCATGGAGACCGCCAACATTGTGCAGAGCCTTTGAAGTCTACGTTTTGGTGCAAAAGACTATGCAGTGATGGCTTACGTTGCCGCGCCGGACAACTCGTGCAAGGGTGTGATTCACGGACTGGACGCCGGGACCACGCCAACCGAACTTCTAGCCCATCTTCGGGTGCGTACCCAAGGAGTGAAAATACTTTTTGCAAGAATGCTTGGAAAATCCCAAACTGTCATCATTACCTCTGAGGGCAAGATCGTCCCGCGCTATGTTTACTACTACGGTGGTGAGACACGTTGCTACCTCTATCGATCATCGCGGCAAGTTTTCTCTATATGCTTCAAGCCTGGGCATAGGGCAGAAGTATGCCCAACAACAGACGCTGTTGTCTGCTCAAATTGCACCGAGCCAGTCAAAGAGGACGGACACACCTGTGAGCCCGGGTGCGCGCTATGCAAGAAGCGCACCCTACACGGGCAAAGGA